TAAATAAAAATTATAAAAACATAAAAAATTATAATTTTTCCCTCACTGTTTTTCATCTCTATAAGAAAATTGATTTTTTATGATTGAAAATGATGATTGGTTATTAGTTGATCACTAATATTTTTTATATTTGTGATTAAATTAAGATAATAATCACTAATATTAATTTTAATAATATAATATATAATTTAAATACAAAAATTATATCTAGTCACTAAATATTTGTCACAATAAACTAAAATTTGTGACGGTTAAAATCGTCACAAGTAAATTAATTATTAGTTACTTCAAAAATATTAGTTACAAATGATAAATTTATATTATAGATATTATTTTTTTCTTGTGACTGAAATTATGATTTGTAACAAATATATTTTTCGACTATATGCATGTTGTTACAAAAAAAAAATCACAAGATGTAACAAAATTTTTTGTCACAATTAATCCACAATTGAACTTTAAAAAATAAATAAATTAGTTACAACAATATTAGTCACTATCAATTAAGTGAATATTTGTGATTAACAGCAAATTTGCCACAAATAAAACAAATTCCATCATTTATAAATTTGGTAACAAAAACATTTAGGTATCACCAAAATAAATGGTTTAAAAAAAAAACTAGTAATCCATAATTTGTGAGATATAGAAAATTCATAATTAAGTGTAGATAAAAATCAGCATCATAAAATTAACAGTTGTCAAAAAAAGAAATTTAGAATAATAGATTTAATACAATTTGATCAATTTCTTTAATTGTAAAATATCAATTTTAGCCCCCTAATAATATTTTAAATTTTAATCATCAAATTTTAAATTCATTCAAATAGGCCCTTAATATCACATTTAAAATTTTCTATTTCATCTCTCAACCCACAAAATGAAGGCTCCATTAGTTTTTTGACGGAGCAATGCATCAACAGTCAAGGCTCATTTGCCACTGTTGAAGAGTATAAGGGGTGGTATGCTTCTGAATTTGATTTGGGGGCTAATCTGCCACTGATAATCAAGTTTAAGGGGTATTTTCATGATTTGCCGCATAAAAAATAAAAGCAGGGTACAGGTTCAAACTAATGAAACTTTTTATAAAGGTTAGAGGACTGAATTGCTAGAAGAAAGTTCTTTTTTGGGACCTAAATGAATGAATGTTAAGTTACGTATTAAAGTGCTCATTCTACAAAAATTGGAGGACAAGATCTGCTATTTACTATTAAAAAATTGCGAAAAGGGGCCGGAAACCCGACACGTGTATAGTGTTGAGACATACTTCGTGGTGTGAACACTAAAAGCACGTCCAGCATCAATAATTTCTTTTTTGGTTAAATACCCTTTTTGGTCCCTCTACTATAAGAAAAAGCCCTTTTTTAGTCCCTGTACCGAAAAAATCCCCTTTTTAGTCCTTACTGT